GACAAATCAAATTGTATTCAGTGTCTTTTTTCCTTTTCTTTCTTTTTTTGCATCCTGGACATCAGAGGAATGCAAGGCAGGTCAGCTGTGAAAGTCAGAATATGACTGACAGTTCACAGAATTTTATGCTGACCCATAGAATTTTGTACTGACTCACAGGAAATCTGTTTTACTGGCTGACCTGATACTTCTTTTTTTTTTTTTTTTTTTTTAATGTAAAATAGAGGTTTTATTTTCTGTTCTTGGAAACTAGGGACTTGTCATCACATAGTCATCATTCTGGGATGCTATTACAGCCTGCATTTTCCATCTTAGGAGTGATGTAAGGAGTCCTTGGAAAAAGAAAAACAATTCTGAGATCTTTATCATGTGTCTATTATTATCATTTAGCTCCACTGCTTTTCTTACTATGAAAGTAAAATTCATTTTCTATGGAAACACACGGACTAAACTAAAAGCATGTGACTCATTTCTAGCGGGATATCCTTGGTTGTTATACAATGACAGCTATGCAATTCACAGAGCATGTTGCAGGTATTTACGATTTTTGGCATTTTTTGCAGCCAATGAAGATAAATGGTCCTTTTTATTCTTTCTAACACAATTTCCCTTAGTGAGGAGTTTGATTTAATTTCCATCTTGAATGTGTTCTTAAACCAGGATTTTCATGTTGGAACAAACTTGGTGATAGAAGCTTTTTCTAGAATTAGAATGGATGCTGATGGTTGAAGAACACTTAATTTTAATAGTTTGTGTACGTCTTGGTGAAAACTTTTGAAACTCTGAAGCAATGCTGCTTAAAACTGCATTAGTAAGAATGTTGGCTAAGGTTTTCTGATTAGTTTTTTAAAATTTATTTAAACAGTACTTAATGCTAAGTGGATATTAGTCATGGCCAACATACAGTCATGTTTCTCCATTTAATTAAAGGCAGAATAGAGAGAATGATAAGTACACATCAAGTCTATGCAGTGGATTAAAGAGAAATGAAAGGCCTACTTCAGATACAGATGAAAAATAGGATCACTGTATTTATTTTTAGCTACACTAGTAGATTATGTAGGGTGCTTTTAAAAATTGTATGTATAATTTTGTTTCAGAAAGCACAGCTGTAATACTTAATGTTATGCTGCACTTGAGCAGTTTATTCTTCGTCACCTACACGCATTATCAAAAGAATCAAACGGTTATACCTTATAGCGTAGCCAGGGAAAGGATTACAAGTGAACAACAAGTCATACTGTGGTGTTGTTTCAGAATATTTGTTGTCAATTCATATTAAGTGTTTTTAGTCCAGTTTTCCATAAGCACTTTTTATGCAGTAGAATTATTCTATTTTGTCTAATGTTTCTGCAACAGTCTCTCAAATGGATATTTGAAAAAGTTGATATTGCTGTGGAGATACAATATTAGTTTGCCTTGTGTCTTCTGAAATGTCTGTTAGTTATTTCTCCTTCTGAAGCCTGTAATTTTATTCTGTGTTTTCTTTTGAGTTAAGCAGTTTCATCTGTGGTCCACATGTTTTTTGTTAATATCTTCAAGTGAGTTGTACTAAAGATTCTGCTCTTGGCTTAAAGGAAAAGAAAAGGAGAGGAAGCATTTTTTAGGCATGTTGTTATATGGGTGCATCTTTGTGCAACATCCAAACATTCGTAATAGAACTGAACTTGAGTAAAATACATATTTTGTTTTTCCTGTACTGGATTCTCTTTCTTTGCCATGCAAGGTCAAACTTGTATTTTACTGTAATGGACTATCAGTTGTTGAAAAAATAAATTCATTCTCATAGAACAGAAACTGTAAACGTAACAGTAACTCAAAGGTTATTTAGGTTTTGCATCTGAGTATAAAATCAAATCAAATAGTAACCAAAGTAGTTACTAAAATTAAGCAGGTTATGAATCGCTATTTTAATCCAAGTTCCCAGAACATTATTTTTTTCATTTCATAAAGTCAGCTATCCTAATTGTCACAAACCATGCTTTCTAAGCTAAAGACAGGACTGAGTGATCACAGCTACTAGACTACTGTCTGTTGTTGCCTTTGCTGGGGATTTGAAGAATATAAGTAGAAGAGGGAGCTTACATTGCCACTAGTTCATGAATAAACAGTGGATGTTATTGCCTAAGACTGAGATTTTATTTACCAAAAAAAGAAAAGAGAGGCAGAGAAAGTTTTAGCTTATTTAAAGTACACTGAAATCATGTAGAAGAATTACTCTTGAAAACATATATATAAATGTTTCATAAACACAAATTAATGGGTTAGATTTAATATTTATTACTTATTTGTAGTTACGTTGTTGCCAGTACCCTTGATTTGCTGAATTAATGTATTTCAGAAGATCTTTTTAAACAATACCCGACAAATGTAGGTACCGTAATTTTTTCTTTGTAGTATGACTCTAGCAATGAACAGTGACTCTTCAGCTTTTATCTGTCTTTTCAAAATTTTTAACAAGTATGTCTTCCTGAACTAATACAATTAAAATGTAATTAGCATCAACATTTCCCTTTTTATCTGTTCTTCCCTTTTTATCTGTTTCTTTGCTTGTTATCCAAGAAACATTCTCTTTGCCTCTTAATGATCTAGCATTTAATGTCCATTACATTTACTTTTAAAGAGGGCTACACTTGGCCTTAAAGTATGAGAAGTCAAAAAAAAACATTAGTGGCTGTTTGGTGATGTAGCTAAAAGGAAGCTGGATACAAGATGATGAAAAATGTTTTTCTAAAAGCCTTTAACACTGCTGAAGTTCTCGTATGAGCTAACTATTGAGACTAAGAGTGAGTACTTTTTTTCTCTGCCTTAGTGATCTGAGTTTGGGAGTTGTTTTTTTTTAATGTTCTGTACAGTAGACCAAGGATCCAGTAAGATTCATGTCACTGTAATTTCACTGGTATCCAAAGCAGGTGCATATATGTTAAAAAAGCTCAGTTTTCTAATAAATTGTGTTAGGAACCTACGCTGAAGGGCCTGGAGAGTGACTTTGGAGCTCCTAATGTCTGATACTACAAAGATGGTCTCCTTTCCTTGGTCCTTTTCTTAGCTGTGAGATAAAAACAATGGCAACAGTGGGAAGAAATGAAGGATTGAAGAGTAGATGTTACCACAGACCCCAAATGAAGACAATGATGAAAAGCACCAACTTGCATTGAATGAATTATTGCGTAGTAATTTTAGATTAGCTAAATAAATAGCTATAGCCCAGTTAATTTGTGTCCTGTCTTATCTTTCCAGGAGACTTATTGAGAGCTCAGTTGTCCAGTTTTGCATTTTTGTAATATTGATAAGTACTTATGTGTTTACGTGTACAAATGGAAGCATGTGGCTGCATATTATCACAAAAATGTGCTAACATTTACTTTGGAAGAGTAACTTTTTAGGAAGAATACCAGTCCAATTAGAGACAGGTAAAGCAAAGAAAAGTCTCTAGTTGGAGTTTTTTGTTGGGCAGAAACAAAATAGACTGTTTGTTCATGTTTTACTTTATGGAGTTATGTATTTAATGATATACAGTACAGTATATAATGCTATATGTAGCATTTGTGTCCACTGGTGTGTGAAAGATGCAAACATATAGTTTAGTTTACTGTTTATACGCTGATGCGTATGTAATACAGAGTGGAGAACAGGCACAAACGCTTTGGAAGTACAAATGGAGAGAAATAAAATCCGTTTTTGTAAGACAGTGAAATTTTGATTAAAACTGCAAACATTGCGCAGAGTCAAGCTGAAAGTCTCTTTTGGTTTAATATCATTTGGAGTGGGTTGTCAGTAGGCATTGGTTTTGCTGCAGTTCAATTTGGAGCACCGACTCCTGTGGTCTAAGGGTCTTACTTCTATGCAGCAGTTTCAGTTGTAATAGAGTAAAATTGTGTGTGTGCAAATGAGAGCTTGACATAGGGGGATGTTTATTTCTTGTGCAAAATGAGGGGCCTAGGGTCCTTCACTTGTTTTTCTGAGTGAGTTTTCAGGGGAGGTGAATGAATCTGTATTCACAGTGTAGTGAAAGAAAAAAGCTGGATGTTGACTTAGTTTGAAAATGTGGATTTAGACTATGCTGTACAGCTGAATATGCATTTTCTCCTTTTCTGAACCGTATTTTTTTATAGAGAAGAACCAATCCAATGCTGTTGCAATATTAAAATGAAATGGAAGCCTATTATATCACATATTGAAGCAGTTAAAGTCAATAATAAAGCCTAATTAATACATACAGTATAACTATGAAGTGCAGTAAATGTGAATAACAAAGTGTTCAGAAAAGCAGAACGAAATTACAGCTTTTCAATAATCTTCAATTTTTTAGCTGTAATAAACATTAAAAATAACGTGAGGTTAATTCCAGTTCTTTTATATTGTTACTGACTTGTTGCAGATAGCATATAGACTCTTTAAAAAATAATTTATTCTAAGAACAGAGTGATTCCAAGATATGCACAATTCTTTAATCTAAAGAAAGTTTATGTGTTAAATAATTTTTTAACTCTAATTGTAATGATTTTTACAAAGAAAAGTAACTCTCTTATTCCACAGCACTGACTATAGGAAGAAAAGAGATGTTTAAGGCTCATATTTTTCTGCTGAACTTGTGTGTCTTGTGAAGCACAGTAAAATTCAAGGAAATTAAACCTGTATAAATTAGACTTGGTTTGGTGTTTGGTTTCATTTGGAAAATTAAAGTATATGTGGCTTTTTTAACTGCAGTGATGTAATAATATCAAATATTGTCAATATACATGATTTTAAATAGTGAATATAACATTCTTGAACTACATATTGTAATGTTTAAACTAGAAATAAGCTAAAATGTTTTCTCAAAAAAAAAAAAACCCTCTGTATTTCTTCCTCAGAAATTGGTATATTTTTCCTGTATAATTTTTCAGTCTTTAATCTTTTTGGCTTCTCTATTTTTATATATTTATCATACATGAATCATGGCTTGTGTAGTAATAAGGTCTTTAAGCATTTCATCCTTTTCTTTATATGAATTTTAGGTATGCTATTCCTCCAGAGCATGGGAAACGGCTTGAAAGACTAGCTCAAGGTAATATTTCCAATATTTCCATATGTAAGATGTTTGAAGGACAAACCTCTAGCAAAGTGAAAAACATTGTCCTTGACTCACCTACTGTGTTTTATTATTTAATGGTGTGTGACTTTTATCTGTCTACGGTATCATTGCAAACAAGGAACACTTTCTAGTCCTCTGAGGAATTCTTAAGAAACAAATTTTGTTTTTTCCTCTTAGAACTTTATTTTGTACTGGCATTTTTAGCTTGGTGAAGCTTATGAAAATGAGGCTTAGTATTTTGTTGTTAATTAGATTTTCTTTGCTAGTATCTTTGTCTCCTCTGTGCCCTTGCTTTTTCTTGTGATAGCTTCTTTTCATTAGTAACTTTTGAATCTTAACTTCTTAGCCAAATTTGATACAAAGGTAGAAATATTGAAGACAGCCAAATCTCCAGAAGTTTCATGAAAGTCAGTGGATGGGTAGAGGATGGAAACGTGGTTAGTACCTCTGGGAAGGGGGAAGCAGACAAAATATACCAACACTAAATCTGATTTGGTAGCAGCCTGCTAGCCAGTGAGCAGGCATATAAATCCACCTTAGCCAAAGCATGTCCTGGCTTTTGCCCTCCAGAGGTGTGAGGAAAGTATGTTGAGAAGGAGCAGAGGATATTGTTGTAAGGTTGAGATCTAAGGCATAAAAAACACTAGTGTATAGGAAAATTCTTCTCACACAGTGATTTGTTTTATTTTCAATAACACTACACCTCTCTTTTTCTTTATAGATTTAAGAGTGCAACTTATGAACGTGGGAATAATTAGGCATTTTTTTTGTCTGGCAACCCATGTTTTATAGCCTGCTATTAACTATATTATATAAGGAATGCTATGCTGCGTTGATAATTAGATATCATGTATCAGGACCAAGTTCTGAAAATTTTTGTACATTTTCTTTTCATATCCATTTTATGTGCATATAGGCACATGACTATTTTTTCTGAGCTATTTTTAAACTATCGCTTAGAACAGTAAGATGGCATGTATCACTGAGATGTGAAAGTAAAGACCTGTGAACTTTCAGTCTTAAAAACACATTTCAGAAACACATATTTCAACCTGGATAATTACATTTACTATTCCTAAATTTTCCCATAGTTTCAATTGAGAAGGTTGTCACTCATTTTTTTTTGCTTTCCAGATTCTTTTTCCAACTTGCAAAGTATAGAACTCTTCATATGCCTACCTTGAAGCTTTTGGTTTTCACTGGTAAACAAATTGATACATGTTGTAGACTGGGCAAGTGACACTGACTTATGACAGGATCATTCAGTAATTATTTTAAAGATTTACAGGAGATGAGCAACGAGTAAAAGGAATAGAGAACTGGAAAAGGTTCAGAGAGGCACACTAGGACTGGTGAAAAATTTGCCTTTTTGTAAAGAGTGTCATAAGGGGGTATGATAAAGACCTGTGATGAGTGGCATGGAAAAGGTGACTAAAGAGTGATTGTTCACTGGGTCTTCCACTACAGCTACAGACTCTGAATAAGAGTCTCAGCGGGTTCAAAACAAACAGAAGGAGATGGTTCCTTTTACAGTATGAACTCACCGCCCATGGTGGATTCTAAAATTTTGCATGGATTCAGGGGGAGACTGGACAACACTGGCAAAGAAATCTGTTAGAGGAGCATAGGAACTGCATCTGGCTTTGAAAGTCTTGGAGCAGCAACGTGTCGGTACTAGATTACTCAGAAGAAGCAAAGATTTCATGCTGTATTTAAACACTTCTCTGTACATCCACTTTTGACATGTGCTGGGAACGAGATCTTTGGGTAGACAGACTTTTCATTTGAATGAATGTGTGTATGGCTGTTCCAGCGTTTATTATAGATTTCATATTGATTGATTATAGCTGTGTAGTGTTTTAAAACTATTCAGTTTTAAATGTTCTGTAATGGGTGTGTATTGAAACTTTATTTTTTTAGAGAGAGGGAAGAGAAGGGGCAGTTTCAGCAACACTTGTTCACTCATTTCTAAAAATTAAGTGGTATTGAGGCATGGCATTGTTTGCTGCAGGCTAAAAACAACCTTCATATTTTTCCTTGACATACTCTCATTTCCCCTGATATTGGAGTAACCTGTACAAATTCTGGAAGTACGTAACTTTTGGAGGTAATGTGCTTTGCTACATGGGAGCTTTTGAAGTCACTTAGTGTAAGCTTATATAGTTTAAGAAAATATTATGTTAGAAAACTGTGGCCTGAAGGTGCTCAGGCCTTTGGTAGTGGTGGCCTAATACAGTAAAAGGAATGGGACATAAAGCATGAGGAGAAGTGAAAATCTCCAAAACCACTGTTTGTCAGAAGCCAATAGGTTATACTGGGGGAACAGTGTCTTAATGTCCAAATGCCAGAGTCAGAATTGGACAATAGGCTAAATGGGACCTATGACTTCAGTCTCACCCAGCGTAACAGTTCTTAGGTCCAGAACTGCTAGAAAAAGGTAGGACAGAAAGGGATCTTCAGGCACACCAGCACATGCGCACGTGCTTTTGTACAGCTGGGAACAGGAACGCAGTTCCTTGATCCTTACTGATCACTATATTTAAAGACGTTGCCCAGGCATGTCACTCAGCCTTGGTCTGTGCACATCTGCATGGAAGTAAGTTTTCTACTACTATTATTAATTCTATGTCAGTACAAGTTACAAAGATCTGTGTGGTGAATGGAAAACTACTTTCCTTGATGAATAGTGTGTAATCAAAACTTAAATTATTTTCATTTCGGAACCATGTTTTGAATAGTAAATAGCAAATAAAGCATAGAATCAGATACTGAACAACGAAGATAAAATTTCAAATAGTTGCTTATTCCATTAGAGGCAGTGAATGAAACTGGATTTCTGTAGAAAAACTGCATACTCGTACAGAGATTCTTATTATAACACCAACTTATGATAGGTGAGTTAGTTTCACAGACAACCCTCTCTGACATTTCCTAAGTTTTTAGTATTTGACTTCAATGTCTTCTACAATGTTATTCTGTGAGTAGCTTGTTCTCATGATATTTTTGGTCCAGCCAATAGCTTAGAATGGAATGTAGAAGATGATGCTGTAGTTCTTGAGCATAAAGATGATGGACGCTATGCTCGATTTGGCTTACACATTCAATTTTTTTTTTTTGGGGGGGGTGGGGAGGGAACTACCATTTCTGGTTATTTCCATGCTGTGGAGGTTAAGACCTCTGTGATCTTCTACTTTGCAACTGTTGCCTACTAAAATACAGTCTGAGTTTTACAATAAGGTATCTTAAAAAGATTAAACTATTAAGTAAGCTGCATGGCTGTGAGTCACTTAATAGTTAACATTAATAAAACATAGTGTAAATGAGACTTTCATACTTAATTACATGCTTATTGAAAATACTTTTAATCATATTTTTGCATGAGTGCAACATCTGAAGAAAAAAAAAGTAGTTTATTCAAGAAGGTTAGCTCTGATGACCAGATGCCTACGAAATTAATTGAATGCTCCTAAATAATTAAAATAATAAAATAATGCATTAAATGTGGCAGGTTGTCTAAGTCAAGGCAGCAATTGACACATAAAATTAAAGGAAGGCTAGAATATTTTCCATTATCTTGTCTGCACATCACAATTACCACACATGCCTTTTGTGCATGAATGCTTTCATTTTTGCTTTCTATTGAAATCTTGATTGACTGTGGCACCTACAAATACTTTATCTGAAAGACATTAGACTTGCATCTAATAAAGATAACAGTTTGATTTTGCCCTTGAGCTGCTTTCTCATTTATATAGGTTTTTTTCAATTTCACGTAGACATAAATGTAATAAAAATCTCAAGTGAGCTGTTAACTGCAATTTTTATACTTGTTATGTTAATCTGTAATACCATGGTATTCTTAAGGATTTTTGTTTCACGAAATGGGTTAGAAAATAAAGAGAATAGAAGCAGAGTGGCAAATCAAAAGTAACAGTTTGAAGGATTTTCAAGATCTTTTAATAGATCATTTAATTGCAGAGACTGTTTTAGAGAGGCGATAACATCTATCTATGTGTTCAATTATGTTAAAGAAGAAACTAAAGTAAAGTTTAATATATTGTAAGTATGTAGGGGTGTTATAAAAAGCTTTGTGTGGTGTTTTGTATTAATTCATTTCATGCAGAAGTCATTACTTGTTATGTATGAAAACAAGTATAAATAGTTGTTGAAATGAAATGATGTAGAACTTGCATGACTTCTAAGGGTCTTGAATCTGAAAACTTGAGCATTGACGAATTGAACTTTGTCTTGATAGTTATATGAGTCAAGTTAGGAAAGTCGCATCTAAGAGATAATAAACTTAAGGCTGTAACATATTCATCTGGGCATACCAACACTCATATTTCACAGCACTTGCTTCTTTTGTGGCTTTTGTACTCTGTGCTTTGTATAGCATACAAATTGCCACTGCTTCTTTGGGAGGATTGTTGTCATGCAATTTCTTTTTTTAAATTTTTTTTAATTTATTCTATGTGCAATACAGAAAGTTAAATCAAATTACTTCAAATCACTGAAAATTAATTTAAATCAATTATATGAAGTTTGTATTTATACCTACCAAAGTAAAATCTAAAAATAAAATGAGTAGAAAACTCAGTCCTTCTTTCATCTCTGCCTGTGTTCCAAGAGTACTGATCAGTGAATTATGATTAATATTTTATATATTCTAAGTCCTTTAAATGAAGATCTACATAAGTAAAAAATTACTGTAACTTTGAGCTTAATTGCGTTAATTGGGATTATTTTTAATTACATTAAAGTTAAATTACGTTAAAGGTATTTGCAATTTCGGGTGTTCTCTATCTTATGTTGTAAGTTTTGTGGTTTTATATTTATATTTTCATATTTTATATTTATATTTTCTATTAATATAAATAAAAAAGAAACACAGCACCTTTACTGTAAAATTTCAGATGAAGACTTGAGTATGGAAGTGTAGAAAAAGATACGAAGTCTAGCCTCGTTCATTGACT